TAAATGTTGTGTTACACTGAATGACAATGTAACATTATTTCAAACAAATTGTAACATTTTATTCTCCAAAAACTTATTTGAAACCTTAAAAGTAGACACTTTACTTACATTTAATGTGCTTTCTATGGACATAAAATCACTGTTGTACATTTCTTTTGTTGCGGACATCTTAACGTCTTTGACCCATGTATATAAATAAGCATGACACATTGAACTCTTCATGCATTTTATTTTCCCAAGCTGACTTGCTAATGCTTTCTGATGTCTGTCTGTCTGTCTGGTGAATTCAGCTTCGTTACGGTGAGCCCACGTTAAGGAGGGCGGTGCCGTTAGCGCTCGCTCTGATCTCCGTCTCGAACCCGAGGCTGAACATCCTGGACACGCTCAGCAAGTTCTCACACGACGCCGACCCCGAGGTGTCACACAACGCCATCTTTGCCATGGGGATGGTGGGCAGCGGTCAGTCTCTAGAGGACATAAATACATGAACTGCTCTGAGAGTCACTTCATTCGAGTATAATTATCGTCATATCATATACACACAGAAGCGTAAAGGTATTCAGAGCAAGCCATCAAAATAAAAGTGTCAGAAATATATTATTGTGCAGTAGAATGTACGTAATGCTACTACTACTAATAATAGATTATTTAAAAGAAATGTAAGGAATAATCACACAATATTTCTCCCATGTTTTAATTTTCATAGTATTAAATTCGTTTGCCAAAAACAATTTTTTTTTTTATTTGATTAAAAGATAAATTAAATTACTGTATTATGCCTGCATTTGATAATCAGAAAAATGTAAAACACACAAAATATCTGGGAAATAAAAACAAAACTTTTTATAGGGCTATTGTAAAAATACCTTTTAATAAATTAAATTGTTTTAATGCATTCAAATAATTAGACATGCTTAAACACAGAATCTGGTGACAATAAAACAGAACGTGAGAAAAAAAATTTAAACATGTAATAGGGTCCTAAAAATGTATTTATTTTTTGTTCTTTAAATATATTGATGTTAAATTGTATAAGTTTATTAATTGTATTAATTAGACATGCTTTTTGATTAATAAAATTTAATTTAGCCATTAAAAATGTGAGAAAAAAAAATGTTTACAGAAAAAAAAGACGGAATTTTGGAAAAAAATAAAACGGATTTCATAGGGCCCTACATCATGCAGTGCCTCGACCAATCAGAGCGGGCTGTTGAGGATGCGGTTGTCATGGTTACCGTGTTGCTCTCTTCCACAGGCACTAATAACGCGCGTCTGGCGGCGATGCTCAGGCAGCTGGCGCAGTATCACGCCAAAGACCCCAACAACCTGTTCATGGTCCGACTCGCACAGGTGAGGCTTCACGTCTCTCAGCAACACTTCAGGTCATGTGACTCGCTCTCGTTTTTGTTTGTTGCTGCTGTTGTTTCGACTGTTAATGAGCGCTGGGATCTGAGACACATTAACACGCACAGCTCTAAACGCCAGTAAAAATTAATTGACTTTACTAAGGTTCTATCTGAGATTTTTGATGAGGTTTCTTTTGTAAGCTGTGTATATTTTGGGCCTTTTTTTAGAAAACAAAAATGGTTTCTATCTACAGAAGTCTATGAAATGCAAAAACTTTGAAGCTCATAGAACAATGCAGATAGAACCTTATAATTCCAAGGCGGCGATATGTATATCACCTATATATTCACCTAAAAATCAGAAGGAAAAAATAAGATATTGTATTTTGTATGAAGAAAACTGAATGATTCTCAATGCTGTATTGTTTTTAAATCAGCATAAATTAAAGACAATAAACAAAAATAACACGGGTATAATTTTACATTTTAAATGTAATTATTCTAATCATTTATTAAATTTATAAAATGTAATATTTATTTCATTTATTTACATTTGTTTATGAATAAATATAAACATTAATTGATTTAAATATGAGTAGTACAATTTTATATATTAAATGTATAATTTATTATAATAATTTCTATTGAATTTAATACGTAATTTAGAATTATAAAACACATTTCTATACATAATAAATAAGTGTACTGTATTTTTTCTTTTTTAATCAGTATAACTTAAAGACAGTAAACAATAAATGCTGTCAGTGTGTTTAAATCCCAGTGTTGTTTTTTGTATTATCAATATTTTTAATTACTTTTTTTTTTTACTCCATTTATTTTAATTTTAGTTTAAGCTTTAGTCATTTGATGTGCTTTTGCCGTTTTTGTTTTTCCCAAATATGTCTATTTAGCTTTATTTTAATTTCAGTTTACTCGTTTTTGTGCTTATTTTGGTTAGTTGCCAAGGCAACATTTCTTCTTTTTGTGTTTTTAAGTTTTTTATTTCAGCTTTATTTAAAATTTAAAAATTATTCATAGTGTTAGTTAATGATAACAACTATGATAGATATTTCATAATATAAAAATTAGAGTTTATTTCTTATTAGTTCTACAATTTAAGATTTATAAAAATATATAAAATCGTTATAAAGTATATATTATAAATAAGTGAAAGTTATAGTGTTATTTTAGTATTAATATACTATTATAATATTTATTAAAATTTGGAGAAATTATATACATAAAAATATATTCAAATAGGTTATATTAACAATTATATAAGTATGATATAAATATTGTTATTTTTTTTGTTTTCATTTTAATTGTAGAAATTGTGCTTTTGCCATTTAAAAAAAAAATAAATTTAGCTTTATTTAAGTCACGGTAATTCAAATTCAAAATGACTGAAGGTATAACACCAGTAGACTATTATTAACTAACTATAAGTGATCTGTAAAAACAACAGCAGCTTTCAGCCTGTCACCATGATGTAAACATGAAATATCAGACATACAGTAGCTACAGGTTTTTTATTCGATTGCGCTTTTCCATTGTTTTTTCTGTGTAAACATGGACGTGTTTGACTGTTGCGCTCGCGTCTCTTGCAGCGTCTCACGCATGAAACGGCTTTCTAAAAACACGCCGCTCAAGTTAAAGAAGCTCACTTCCATCTTCTGCATGTTTTTCCTATTCCACTGCCCTAGTTGAAGGTGACCCCGTGGTGACTTGTGTGTGTGTGTG